AAAGATAAATGGTAAGGGGCTGGGGCTCAGCTGTAGGGCCCTTGCCTGGCATGTGTGAGGTACTGGGTTCAATTCTTAGAACCACATACAAATTAATAAAATAAAGGTCTATCAACAACTAAAAAAAAAAAAAAAATTCAAAAGAAAAAAAGATGAATGGTAAAAGAGACTCCCCAATTACATTTCCATTGTTCAAGATTAAAAAACAACAACAACAAAAAAATATATATATCAGACTGATGCAAGCAGATCTTGTACAATACCTTGACCAAAAGTAACTGGGACCCTCATTTAAAAGCATTTTCATTACCCAGGCACACTGGTGGCACATGCCTATAATCCCAACAGCTTGGGAGGATGAGGCAAAAGGATCATAAATTCAAAGTCAGCCTCAGCAATTCAGTAAGGTACTAAGCAACTTAGTGAGACCAGGACTCTAAATAAAATATTAAAAAGGGGGCTAGGGATTCGACTCAGTGATTAAGCACTCCTGGGTTCAATCTCTGGTACCAAATAAATAAATAAATAAATAAATACATTTCCATGTTAAAAGATACAGGAAGGGGTCACATTTTTGACAGTGTGCACAAAGCCCATTAAGTGATTTGCAACATAATCATGAATATTGCTATGTAACTATAAATATGCAAATTCATGATCCACCCTTTGTTTACCCTTTGACCTCCTTGTCACTCTATCTATGGAGTGGCCACTTTGCTGTCTGGCAATTGTTACTTTAATCAATGCAATAAATAATTTTAACCTTCTCTTTGCTAGCCATGTTTGATTTCTATCCTGCAACAAACTGAAGGACCTGCTGGGCCAGAGACAGACACAGATACACCTTGCAAGGATTAGGCTGCCTCTGAGCCTCTGCACTAGGTGTGTATTGGGCAATACCTTAGGGAAGAGCATTGGAGAGTCCATTTCTGGGATGTTATGGTCCAAGAAGCCATAGTCTGAATCCAATCCCACATTTGACTCTTGTTTCCCCATGCCCCAAAGAGCACCTGATTTATCTGAGGCCCTATTGCAAAAGGAAAGAGGCTGGGGCTGGGGTGTAGCTTGGGGGTAGGATGTTTGCTTAGCACATGTGAGGTCCTAGGTTTGATCCCAAGCACCACAGGAAAGGAGAGAGAGAGAGAGAGAGAGAGAGAGAGAGAGAGAGAAAGGAGAAGGAGGGCCAGGGAAGGCTACCATGCTTGTTAAGAGTTTGGGATAAATTACAAACAGAAATGACTGCCATTAGGCTATATAGGGAAAAGCAACCAGGTTTGACCTCAAAAGTGAGTCAGATAGTCAGGGAAGGTATTTCTGAATCTCAGTCTATTAGATAATGAGTATCTGTATATATGTCAGTAAATTACTTTCCTCAGGAAAAAAAAAAGTAACAGAATAAAACTGGCTTAAAGGACTGGTTACCAAAGCCCAAAGCTGCAAGATATGAACATAGGTAAGGAACTCTCACTTCCTGGATGAGATAGCACCCCCAGGCAGAAGGAAATGAAACTCCAAGATTCATTCTTCAAAAAGGAAAAGACAGCCCTTCCCAAGTTTCAAAGTACACTGTGATCTGGGGAGGCTACCCAGGGCCATATGTATATGCATGCACATTGAGGCAGGGGGCACAGAGGAGTATACAGGTAGAAAAACACCTGAGAGCAGAGACCTAGCAAGTGCTTCACCTTCAGGGGGCACAAACTGTGGCAGAAGCTATGTCTTCATAAACACCAGGGAAATTGGTTCATGAACAAGCACTCTCCTGGGTCCCTGGCTACCTGCCACTGCTAGTCCTGATTCCCAGTTCTAGATCAGACCCTTCCCTTTTAAACAAATCAAGGGGATCTCCTCAAAGCACAGCTGGGCAAGAGGGGCCTCTGGGATTCAAGCAATCCAGAACTCACTCCCTGCCCTCTTGAGGGAACTATGCCAAATACTCTAAACCCCAGCTGAGCCCCCAGCAAGCCCTGCCTCCCCCAACCAGTTCAGCCTTATGTGCTGCCCACCTTCCCCCACCCCAACCCTCTCTGGGGCTGCCTGTGCACAGCCAGTCAAGTCATGTTGAACAGCCGCCAAATCTGAGCAGAGATAAACATTCCGGGAAAAGAAACGCAAAACTGCTGCTCCTCCCATCTCAGGCAAACACCCAGGTGGCCAGAAGAGAGCCTCAGTGCCAGGGTCAGTGGAGTAGATCCTGCAAGGCCCCCTAAGGGCCTGAGACAGGACTAGGGAAAGAAGCCCAAACTACTAGGGAGATTTCCCTTAGGAAAGCTGTAGGACTCCCCAGGAAAGGCCCACCTCCACTCTGTAGCACTCACTTCCAGGGGGGCCTCACATTAGTCAGTACTATGGCTCCAAACATTACAACCTGGCCCAAGTCAAAACAGATGGCATACGTGGAGGCAGGATTCTAACCCAAGCCTATCTAAAGATTGCATTGCTCTGACATCCCAGCGTCACATAGTGACCCATAAGCCCAGTCTAGTGCCTTTCTGCCTCAAACCCACCAGATTTCAGTTGGGAGGGACTGAAGTATCTGGCCCAGATCTCTGGACACTAAAGTAGAGCCAAGTTGGAGAAAGGAACTGCAAGTAGTGAAAAGGCCACAACTCTAAACCCCACGGATGCTTTCTCCCACCAACCTCAAAACCACCCCGCAAGGACTTTGACTGACACCTGCCCAATTGAACAGATGGGCTCAACTCCCCTAACCCACACAGAATCAGGCAGACTTTCAGCTTTTTGAAGGCCCTTCCTGGACAGGAACCTCCATTCCAAGAGCTGCACCCAACCATTTAAATCTAAGGGTTCAATTAAAATGAAGAAAGGACCTCTATAGTCATTTCTGGGGTTGCTGCCTAGCAGCAGCCTAAACGTCACAGTCCCATGCAAGTCACATGAAGTCAGCCAGCCTAGGGCCTCTCTCTACACCCTCTAAAACATTATCTCACAGGAAGTCCTTTCAAGCAACCAATTTCAGAATCAATTTAGCAACACCAGTAACTGGTAAAAAGCAGATCACTAGTGACACCATATTATAAAATAAAATAAAGCAGAGCTATGGTTATCACCATGTCTCCCATACCTTAATGAGAAAACCCAATCTAATAAACTTGGGGTACTTTTTTTTGATTTGCTAATTAATTTCTCTTTCTGCACAATGCCCAAGCAGCAATCAAAAACAAAAGCAAAACAAACAAAAACTGGGTTCTCTGTGGTCTAGGGACTCTCTCATTCTTCCTCCTTTTCTCTGCTGCTCAGAACCATCTCCATGTGAGTCGGAGAAAATAGAACTACAAAGTCTAAAATCATATTACTATATTATTACTAGCAGCCACATACTGAGTTTGTACTATGTGTCATGAATTTAATGTACACAACCTCTTAGTCCTAAAGGGGTTAAGGTAAGCATCGACAACCCCATTACACGTGAAGATAAAAAAATCTATAACATGCCTGAAGTTAAACATTTAGCAGTAGGGCAGAGTCTACTTAATTTTATGAACTACTGTTTCCCAGATTAACCACCAAGTCTGAAGGAATTCAGTTTTCTGCATTAAGAAAGTTCTCTCATTACCACAGTTCATGTTTGACCAATTCCAAGCAGTTCCTCCCAAACTTGGTATTAAAATATTGAAGTAATTATTGGAGAAATTGAGCAAGAGCAAGTAGGAAGGCCTGCTTTGCCAGGGCGCTCTGGGAACGTGACAGAGCTTTTGGCAGGATGCCTGCCAGGGCCCCTAGCTCAGAACAACATTCTCTAAAACCTGGCATTAGAAATAAGCAACCACCTGTCTGAACCCTGGAAGCAACCTGTGGCTGCTTCAGGCCTGCAGGCCTGTGGGTTACAGGTCAAAGAGAGGCTCAGGCTAAGTTAATTGTCCTTTTAACTTAAGGAATGCAAACCCACCTACTCAAGGTCCCTGCCCACACTGAAACAGGCTAGAGGCCAAGACTCAGATCATCTGGGCAAGCAGTACCAGGAAGGGGCAACCCCAGGCTGACTGGTTACATTTTAGCCCTCCAGCCCCCAAGATACACAAGCCCTCGGTCCCCAAAGAGGTCCTGCTCACTTAGGTTGAGAGAAACTACAGGAGGAGGAAGCTGGGGAGCCCCCATTCCCCCAGAAGGGCCTCAGGCCAGGGATCTACACAGAGGAGGAAATGAACACAATAGTGACAACTTACTGAGAACGTACCCTCATTAAAATCAAATCTTTATTTACACTGTTTTGTTTACTCTTCCAAAACAACCTCCCAAATAGGTACCATTTATTATCTTCATACACCAGAAGAGAAACCGGATGTTTAGAGAAAAGTAACTTGCCCAAAAGTTCGGGAGAAAACTTAATCTACACTCAGGAATGGCTCTATGAAACGACAGATGTGAATGAGTAGGTAGACTCTCTTCCCTACTCTGAGCCTCACTGTCAGTCCTCCAAACTGGAGTGGGTTTCTCTGAGCTGCCTGGAAGTTCCTACCAGAGTGAGCATGGCAAGACTGCTCCAAGCTCTAAGCAAACCCAAACTACAAAACCCTGAACCTTGGGCCAGAACAGGGACGTCTTCAAGGCCTTCTTTGGTTCAGAGGCCAGAGGGGCCGGAGGGCTTCCCTATAGGGTACTTCCCCACCCTGCAAGAATCCCCCCATGGGACACCACCCAAGCTCTCCCACCCATCCGGCCCGAGCCTCTCTTTGGGATTAAGCATTCTTATCCGGAACAGGGAGGCTAGCAGTCGTGGAAGAGGGAATGTACTAAGGATCCCGGTCCCGAAATTCCGGGGGAGTCCCTCTCTTCGAACTGGTGCACCCGAGTTCTTACCGAGCAGCGGGGACTCCTCAGGGCAAGCAAGCAGCGACAGTGCTGAGGTGGAAGACACTGGGGCCGAAGTCAAGTTACCCGCGAGACGAGGGCCAGAATTTGCACCAGGGCTGGAGTCGAGCCCCGGGCGAGGCTCAGAGGAGACGCCTAAAGGAGGCGGCGGTCGGGCCTCGCCGGGCCGGAGCTCCCCGGAGGTCTGCCCGTTGGAGGCGGCGCCGTTCGAGCCACCCTGCAGCGATGTGGAGACTCCGACCAGCTGGGGTAAGCGGCTCAGGTCGCGACCCGCCAGGTAATAGACGAGGGTGACGCCGAGGTGCAGCGCGCAGACGGCCACGAGCAGGCGGCAGGCCCGCTGCAGGGACGCGCCGGGCATCGCGGCGCTGCCGCCTAGAAGTGGCTCCCGAAACCTCATCTTCCCGCCGCTGCTTTAAGAGGGGGGTGGGCTACGGGCGGAGAGGGCGGCCCGCCTGCGGGCCGCCGGCCAGGCGCTGCCAGACCGCGGCGACTGGGGGAGGGTCCAGAGGGGGCGGGGGCGAGGGAGCGCGGGCTGCTGCGGACGCAGACTCTTGGGGCGGTCGGACCCGGGAGCCACCCGAAGGGCGCCGGAGGCGCGGGCGGAGGCGGGGCGGGGCCGCCGGTGGGGGCGGGGCCGCGAGCGGGGTTTTCTGGACAAGAGGGAGAGGGCGGGGTCTCTGGGTTGCTGGAGCGGAGGCGGGGCCGTCAAGGAGGAGTTGAGCTTTGGGGGCGGGGCGGCTCCGAAGGGGCGCGGCGCTCAGCTTTCCGCCCGCAGGCCCTGAAGCCCCAGGGTCGGACTTCGGCTTCTACGTCCAGCTGCAAACCTCTCTCTTCCCGAGTTTTGGCGGTGAGGCTTAGGTCGCTATCAAGCCGCACCTCCTCTACCCGCCCCCCCCCACAGTCAAGCTGCCCTGGAGAGGCCCCGCCACTTCCTGGGGTACCCAAGGACTGGGGTGCGGGCTTAGGACTGCAGCGCGCCAGCAGAGAAGAGGGTAGAGAGGAAAGCTAGCGAGACGTTGTTTGCAGGGATTGGGGGCCGCGGCGGCTTTCCAGCCGGTGGTCCTGGGTAGGCCTGAGGGGTGAAGAACAGGGGCAAGAAAGGTTGCCTGGGGAACTGGCTTCTACGCCGCGCGAGGAGTGTGACGGCGGCGGAGGGATTTTCCGTGACGTTCGAAACCCCCCTATCTTAGCGTAACTGGGTCCCGGATGCCTTTGTGGGGGGACCAGTAAAAGGCGATTTACAGAGCCTTGAAGTGAAGATAGTGGACAAGTTGGCATTACTCTCACTTACTGTCGTGTGTGTAGAGAATCTCAGAGGTTATCCCAACTCAGTTCTGGGTGCCGGAGATACCTCCTCGAGTGCATACCATGTCTGGACACAAACTTTGAGTGGGAGAGTGGCTTCAATAATTCCCACAGTGGCGGGCTGAAGAACAGCCGTTTTTTACAATCTACACTGGGCTGGAACATAATTCTATGCAGTAGAAATTATTCCCAGTTTACAGATAAGAATTCAGGGCCCAGGGAGGTTAGTATCCTACAGCTGATGAGCAGCAGAACTCTGGCTTCAAAACCCTTACACCTATGTTTACCCCCTTGTTGACTTGCACGCAAAGGCTGGAGGCTGTGTGGGTGACTTTAACACTGAAGCCGCTGAACCTAGATTTGACCTATCTGGTGCTCGAGTGACCTCATCCCAGAGAAAGACTCTTGTAGGTGCTGTCATTTATGTGGATAGGGAAGCTGAGGGGTTCTCGCAGCTAACTCAGAGGTAGGAAATGTTAGCACTGGCCACTACATTTTGAAGAATTTACATATGCCATGAAATAGGTGTTGTTATTGTTTTCATTAAGTAGAAGAGAAAACTGAGGCTGAGGTGTTGATACCTCGTTGGGATCATACAAAATCTATTTCTTCTCTTGACTTCCTGAATACCATGCCCTCCAGATTCTCTTTATTTTCACTGGCCACTCCTCTGTCTTTTGCACTTCTTTCCCAGTTGTTGAGGAAAGCCCCAGGCCATAATCCATGATTCTCTTTTCTGTTTTACTCTCACTTCCTAGGGGTGATTTAGAATATCTTTATGCAGATGACTGCAAAATGTCTCTCATATCTCTTCCCTGACCTCCAGTCACATACCAGTATCTCAGATTCAACACGTCCTGCTCTAACAACCTAATCACTATATTCCACCCTCAGGAGTGGCACCATTGTTCATTTAGTTTCCCAAGAACAAACACTGAAAGATGTCCTGGATATGCCTCTTATTCCCAAATGTCATTTCTAGTTCCTGGGTAAGTCTTATCAGTATACCTTCAAAATATCAGAGATCAGCTAGGCACAGTGGCCCACACCTGTAATCCCAATGACCTGGGAGGCTGAGGCAGGAGGATTGCAAGTTCAAAGCCAGTCTCAGCAACTTGGCAAGACCCTATCTCAAATTAAAAAGGGCTGGGATATGGCTGAGTTGTTAAGTGCCCCTGGGTGGGTTCCGTCCCAGGGGCGTAGAAAGAATTTGTTAACTCTGCTGCAATCATTATGGTCCAAGCTACCATGATCTCAGCCTGAGTTCTCTAGTTCCTGGTTAATTGGTAACTCCTCTTACACCTCTTCCATACCACTCCTCAGTCTTCCTTTCTTCCTGTTTCAGGCTTTTGTACTTTTTATTCACTTAACCTGAAACACTGTCATATTTGAGTTCCTCAGATTCCACCTTATAAGAATGACCTTCTTGAACCCTCCTATGTAGAACAGCCTCCTGCCAAAATCTGCTTAATCAGCTTAATTTTTTTTCAAAGCAGGTATCAACATCCAGCATATGTGTTTATTTTCTATGGTCACTTTCATTAGAAGACCAACTTCATATGGGCAGGAACTCTTGTCTCTCTCTTGCTCACTGTTAGAAAGAAGAAATGAGCCTGCACATAGTTGGTAGTTAATAAATATTTGTTAAGACATTTGGCAAATGAATACTTGTGAGTTTTGTTGTTTTTGAGCTTTTTGTGATGGGTAGTGGGGTGTTTTTGTTTTTGTTTGGGAGGTTGTATTTTGTTTTTGTTTTGGTGGTGCTGGAAATAGAGCCCAGGGCCTCATATGCACATGCTTGTGGAATAAGTATACTCTACCAACACTAAACTGTACCCCCAGCCTTATGATCATTTTGATGTAAGATGGAGAAAAGGGAGAAATTATAGATAAGTTATTTTAGGACACAAATTCAAGAGTTGTTTTCTAAGGAATTAATAAGGGTGAAACTAACCACAACAGCCTATGCCTGGGGAAAATTCTGCCTGGCCAATGAGTGAGAATGAGGCAGATTCGTCCCCTGACTGAAACATAAGGAAAGGGGAAAATGGACATGTATCTTCTATAGGTATAGACAATGCCAGGAGACATTATTAAAGGAAAATTAGGGTCGTAGACCTGTTCCAGGACCTTCTAAGACTAGGAATCAAGGAAAAGGAACACTTGCTAATTGTCCATCCCTCAAAAAAGTGCAGAATCCACTGAGGCCTGAGCAATAGTCTTTGATTCAAAGGTACTTGGAATCAGTAAATTTCTTACTTCCCAAAAGTCCAGAAACCTTCAAGACAACATTGTTGCTGAGTGTGGTGGTGCACACCTGTAATCCCAAAGGCTAGGGAGGCTGAGACAGATGAATAGTGAGTTCAAAGCCAGCCTCACAAAAGCAAGGCACTAAACAACTCAGTGAAACCCTGTCTCTAAATAAAATGCAAAATAGTGCTGGGGATGTGGGTTCATGGTCCAGTGCCCCTGAGTTCAATCCCCAGTGCAAAAAAAAAAAAAAAAGTCCAGCTTCTAAATAGAAAGTAATATTAAAAAAAGAAAGATATAGGCTCAGACAACTTTTTCCCCAACTGTCCCCAGCTCTTTCCACTCTCAACTTATGTCAAGTAAAAAATTAACCCCATCAAGTAAGTGAGACACCTGGAGAAGTTGCAGAATTGCCTTGCCAAAAATTGGAGTCTGGGTTTGGTAATTGGCTTATCCAGTGCTCATCAGCCTAGAATCATCAGTTCCTTACTTCCATTGCAGCTTGCTTTCAACCTCTTAATAGCCTTTCCTCTGCCCTTTCACAGTGCCCTCATCTACACCTTTCAGTTTACATTTCTGTTTCAGCCTCATATGTCAGAAGGACATAGGACAGTAGCTGGCACATGAGAGACTTTTATCTCAAGATCTATTACAACATAACACATGATCCCAAAACTAAGTGTCTTAAAACAATGTCTCACAGTGAAGCAGTTAATTGGGCAGTTCTGCCTACAATAGTATTAGCTGGAACATGGGTATAATTGAAAGTTTCAAAGTGGCCTCACTCACATGGCTGGTAATCAGTGCTAACTGGGAGCTCAGAATGGATTGAGGGTCATGGTACCTTCATTCTCCCCAGTGACCTCTTCCCATAAACACTCTTCCAATGTATCTGCTTGGGTTTCCTCACATACTATGGAATATATTCCAAATTGGAGCATTTCAAGAACAAGACAAGAAGATGCAGATCTTTTAAGGCCTAGCCTTAAGCATCACTTCTGTGAGCATTCTTTTTGTTAAAACAAGTTACAATACTTACCATGCACAGGGCCCTGGGTTCAATCCCCAGCACCCCAAAAAATGAATTAATGAATATGTACATAAATATAAGTTTTAGGCAGTCTAGATTCGAGGGAAGTAAAAATAGACTATATCTTTTGATGGGAGGAGGGGCAAAGAATTAGCAGACATCTTTAATCTACCATCATTTGACCAGTAGCCATCAATATTTAGAATCTCCCCACATATAAATGCGTTGCTCTTCTCCAAAGATCCCCCAAGGGTTCGTCCCATTAAGATTTCAGGTGCAGAATTTCATTATCTAAATCAGCTCCAGGTATGGTTCCTAGGGACCTAAGAATCATAAAAATAAATTATCTTCTTGTTGTTGATGTTCTTCCTCTTCCTGAGCAATCCTGTGCAAAAGTCACTAGGTAGAGTTGAACAAGGTAGGAATCAAAATGGCATATACAGTGTTTCAAAGCCAACCAAGAGGAAGAACCGGTGGGAAAGCAGTTCAGCACAAGTGTTAATGCCCAAGCAGAGTAAAAAAGGCCATCCAAGGACCTGAGCATGGTAGGAGGACTTCTGGGAGATAGAGCAGTCCAGGATAGAGCAGTCTAGGAGATAGAGCAGTCCAGGAGATACAGCAGTCCAGGATGAGTTGTATATATGTAGATAAGGACAGTCAT